ACCTCTTACTAGACAATGAACACTAATCTGATAAGATTCTACATCGTTCGTTGATTGTTAGCTTGTTAACTTTCTAAAATCGTATCGATGGCTCACAATACATTTTATCAGCAATTTATCAAAGCCTATTTCTGTTTGAATGCTCAACGTCATTAAATAGCGCAATATTTAAACGAGAGAAAAGGCACAAATACCTGACTGACTAACAAGTGCAGCTTTTATTGGCGAAGAAACTTTGTTCTGAGTTCGTTCACTCATAAGAGCAGAAACTATTTGCGCGGTAACACGGTAAGTAAATAATTATTATGGATATTGACAGCAATGAGATGAGTAGAAATTTCACATTTTGCTTAATATTTTTCATGACGTAAGATTAAAACTTTATATATTAAAAAGTTAAACAAACATTATCAGGTTATTGTGCATTAGTATTGTAAATGATTTTCAGTTAACTGATTTTGATGATTATGGTGAATAATTTGATGTCTAAAGTTAATTTTATCTCAATGAGAATCCAGCAATCAATTTATTGTTTACTCGATTCTTTGTTGCCGTCAAACCTAATTGTTTTAGTTAATAGGTTTTGATCATAGGTCTATGAATGTAAAGTGATGATTAAAAGGATTGCTTATAAGGTATTTTGTAAATTACTAATTTAAAATTATTGAAATAATTTTCTGTTGAGGGGCCTGAATTTTATTTATAATTATCCTGACAGTAATTAAAGCTAAATTTGTTTGTATCCATTGCTAATCATGACCAAATGAGTGAAACATGGAGCATCTGATATGCTAACAATTGTATTAAGTGTGTTGAGGGTTTAAGCAAATAAGATAAGTGATATAAGCTAATAAATCGGTTCATTGAATCATTGATTGTTAAACAATCAATAGTTGACCATTCAATAATGTTGAAACAAGAAATAAAAGAAACAGAAGTAAAAGAAATAATTCAAATGATGAAAAGGTTTAAATTGTTGAAATGGATTAAAAGCAAATTGAATGGAGCAGTTACGGATCTGGAACCAGACTTGTTTTTCATGATGAAGATAAAGTTGATCATTATGAGGCCAAAAGCCAAATATTTCATGATAATAATTAACATTAGTAAAAGGAAAAGAAAAGGAATTGCGGGAAATTTGAAAATTTTACCCGTTTGAACCAAATTGTGAAACTTGTTTTAATATAATAAAGATGATGATAATGAAGAAGAGTGCAGATGAGAATGATGAGGATGAAGGAATGATAATCAGCCAAGGTGATGATGATAAACATGAACAGGATGAAAAGAATGTAACAAGAATTGTAAATGAAATGACAAGGATGATGAAAAGAAGATGAAGAAGATGAAAAAGAGAGGGACAATGTGAGTTATATCCTTTTCCATGCAATTTGTGAATAGTTTAGCAGAAAGAAGGAAAGAAAAAGAAAGAGAAGAAAAGTTATTTAATTCTTGAAGGAATCAAAACTGATTCTCAGGTAACCAAACGCCTCTATCAATGTCTTGTTCATCATTATCATCATCTTTTATCTTTCCATTCCTGGTCTTCTTTTTTCTTACCCTGACCCCTGTTGAGAAAATCAATTTGAACAAAAATTTCTCAAGATGATCCGATGATTACCCTATTCTCATCATCATCTTTTCATGGCGCGCTTTTTCAACTCACCATCATCTTCATTTGCCTCTAACTTTTCATCATCATAATCATCTTCATGTTGCCTTAGCCATTCCAACCAGTGTCTCACTAGCTGAGGATCCTGTTTAAGCAAAGGGGCACCTCATCCGATCTCTTTCTTTTTTCTTGTCTTTAGCGTCTTCTCTTCTTTCTCTCTCTTTCTCTCTTTCATCATCTTCACAACCAAATCGATTACAACGCCTTCTTTGCTTTCACCTTGACGGAAATACCTTTGGCCTCCAAAAGCAGAAAACCTTAACACGATTTGTGCAATGCTTATGATACCAACAAACAAAGTCTCCCTCATCTTCATCTTATCGTCTTCTTCTTCTTCTTCTTCTTCTTCTTTAAGAAGTTTACTTCTTGCCTTGAGGCTTCCACACCTTTTTTTTATGGCACACAGTCTCACTCTTTTCTTCATCTTCTTCTCATCATCCTCATCTTAATACGTAACAAGCAGACAACTAGACCACCACACAGGCTAACCAACCTAAGACCACGACCAGATCGTTGTAACCAGCAATTAATAGTCTTTACTTTTATCGGACGTTTCTTACTTTAAATCTTTTCTTTTTCTCTTCTTTCTTTTCCTCTTTTTCCTTCTTATCACTTCTTATTCCTTACCACTGTTCAACATCGAGACCTCCGACCAGGCCAACAATTTACGAGATTCGTTGAGTCGGCAACAGCAAAATACCTGACATTTCAATTGCCATCTTTTCCCCTAACCTTTAACAAAACAAAACAAATGTTAACAAAATTTACTAACATTTCTGTTAATACTTTTTATCATTTATTTATATCATTTTACATACTTTATATTTCAACTAGCGCCATCTTAGGGAAATCATGGAAAACTTGAAATTCTCAATCGATAATTGCATGATAAGTTTATGTTATTAAAAGCAATTCACAAATGTTTTAACAGCACAAAACAAGTGAATCGAATGAGCTTAAAAGGAAAAGTTGAACGAAAAAAAAATCAGTTTTCAACTCTGATTATCCAATAATAGCCAGACTGATTCAAGATTAGCCAAATCAGAATCGTTAACAATTTGACAGTTGCACTTGTAACTGAATCAAGTTAAATTATACAACAAATCAAGAGCCGAGAGTGCAATATGATTGAATGGCAAATGGTTTCATAAAATGTTTCATAACAATTTAACCTGATCATTACGATTGCTGTTATTGTTATCAAATATGGTTTGGTCAATGAAAAAAACATTTTTCAACTTTTCAAATTGCCAAGCAAAAGTAAAGGTTTCCTTTGCTAAATAAATGTTGAGATAAAATCAAATGAAATGACGCATATTATTATTATATAAATATGATAACCATGATAACCATGATTTCACTATTAGGAACTGGAACACTGTTCAAGTTACGAGAAGACGAAAAGGAAGAAGAAAAGAAGAGAAAAACATTTTCCTTATAACTTTTTTCCCTCTCATCTTCATTATCTTCAAGAGTCTCTTTGGTAACCTTTTTTTCCTTCTCAATCTTGCTTCGCCTTTTTTTCCTCGATTTATGGTAACAATGAACAAGATGATTTTCTTGTGATGATTTGGATGACAAGGAAGAAGAAACTTTTTATAAACAAAAAGTAAATGAGAAAAATAGTTGTTCGAATACCCTTTAACCTCTTTCTTTGAGAAGAGGCATCGAGTCTATTACATGCTCATGCTCATGTTTATAAACACACGAATGATAAGGGATGAGAAGCGCCTCATATCTTTCAAGATATCGACCAATCTCTCGAGTTTTTGTTCAGTCGAAAGTAAAGTAGACACAACCTTTTCTCTCCTCTCTTGTGCAGGCGAATAAGATGATGATGATTGTACAACCTGATGTTCATGGCGAACAATGATCTTTCTCATCTTCCTCTCTCTCTCTCTTTTTTTTACTGTTGTTGTTGAAACTCCAAAGACCAAAACCAGAGACACAAACAATGGCTATGAAAGATGATGATAAGCAAGAAGATAGACTTTGTATTATACGCTGGGAGTGAGTTCACTTATATTATTATTATTGTATATCATTCCCTGATTCGTTTCTTTCCTTGTTCGCCTTCCTTTCCTGATGGATCAATAATCTAGATTCAGTGTCTTCCCTCTTTCATTCCATGAAAACGATATTTATACACATTCTTCTTCACTGTTTATAACTTGCCTTTTCCCATTATTGTTGTTATTAAATATAATTGTCCATTTTTCTTCTTCTTTCATCATATTAGTTTTATTCAGGGTAAAAATGTATTAATAGAGGAATCATGAGATAATGTCTTTTTATTAGCTTTTTCATTATCAATAGTTTTGTCCATTTCCAGTTTTGTTGACTTTTTCATGTTTTTTCATTTTTTTGTTTGAAAATTTTTTGCTCTTTTTTTATCATTTTGGTTATTCGTTGTTTCAGTTTTGGGTTAATTTTTGCATTTGAAAAATTCATGTGTTGAGCCTGGGAAGGACTGGGAGTGAAAAATGGATAAACTTGGTTAGTTTCATTTGGTGATAAATAATGGTTCAGGGTAAATGTTTAACTAAGGAATGAGGAAAGTTAATAAGAAATGATAATAACGATAATGGTTAAGTATTGTAAGGAGAAGAATATAATTGAAGGAAAGAAAAGGAACCGAGAATGAGGTTTGAATAATAATTCTGGTCAAATTGTAAGTGTGATGAAGATGAAAGTGATTTTGTGAATTACTTGAGCTGTGTGTTTGTGTATATACAAAAAGGAATCAGGAAAAAGTCGAATGATAATGATGATGACGATGATGATGATGATGATGATGGAAGAATGAGAAGTTTCCGTAAGAAGAAGCAAAAAAAAGTATGAACATGATGAAAGGGGAAGGAAAAGGTTGGGGTGAAAAGAGAGTAGGATGAGAGTTGGTCTGGACAAGCTTTATACCAACTTGTTGTTGGACTACTTGAAGAGAGATGATGAAAGGGATGAAAAGGAGGGAAAGAGGAAAGAGTAAGGGATCGTGGATAGTCATTGTTGCGGCTGAGCGATGATATTGATTAAAGTAGTTCTTAACGACATTGAGGTCATTGATTCAATTTTGTTTCTCCTTATGAACACAACGGAGAGAGGAAAAGGTTTCACTTGGAAGATTTTTATCTTCTCTTTCTCTTCTTTCTCTCTCCTCTTCTCTTCTCTAACTTATGCTCACTCATTTACTACTCACTCATCATCATGATATATCTAGGATTACTAAGTGTGACTTTTATTCACATATTTGTAATTCGTTTGCGAACTTGCTTTTTACAAGTAAAAAGAGAATTTTTTTTCTTCTTTCCTTTCTCTTTTTACTCTTTCTTTTTTCATCTTTTAACTTTATCTGAAGATTTATCTGGAGATTCATCATCAGATTTATCATCTTAGCTTCTTATTTTTCTGGTCTAAATCCTTTTTGGTCTGTCTCTTGCTCTTACAATTGAATGGAGGTGAAGCTTTTTCAGTTTGTTTCATTTGTTTCATTTTCATTTTTATCTTTCTCTTTATGATTCCTTCTTATGAAAGGTCACAGAGGAGTAAAAAAATGAAAGTTAAAAGATGATCAGAAAAGGGAAGATGGAAAGAGCAAGTCTCTTCTCTATGGGTTTTTCAATGTTCATTGATTCATTTCAATAAGGAATTCAGTGACCTTTTTTGATTACATTTACCCAACTCTCAAAACCAATTCAATCTAATCACGTTTTCAGTCTCATTCTGGTTATTTCATGATAACCTTTACGATCAAATTGTAGTTCTCCAATTGTTGTTGGTTAACCGTCTATCGTTTTTCATTAGAAGACCATTTTTAAACTTGAATTCCAATTAACATGATTAAACTTTGCTTTAAACCATTTTCATATTGATCGTAGTCTTGTCTCGGTCAGTTAATGGTTCATTCCAGTCTTTATGTTTGCCTTCACATTTACTTGTTGTGATGAATTGCTAAATTGATAAAAATAAAAAAGAAATTAATGTTAATTAGTAAAAATTACTTTTCTTACTTTCACAATTAACTCTGGCTTAACATTGAAACAAAATGAAAACAAGTTACATATTCAAGGATATCAGGTAACTTGTTATGACGACAATAATTACCAATTCATTTGGGTAGTTAGTTAACAATCAAAGTTAATCTTTGTCTATAAACTGATTGTGTACATATTAATAGCTTTGGTAATTGTGTTTTGTTTTGATTTTGTTTCAATCTTTCCAAATCAAAAATTATCTTCTTTTTGTGGTTCCTTCTTTTCATTTCTCACTGTAAATATGGCCAATGTTGTATGATAAACAATACATGATTTGGCAAAAGTTTGAATTCATTTTCAAGGTTGAATTTTAGTTATTGTTGTTACTATTAGAGGGAGAGATGATGAAGATGAAGATGAAGATGATAAAAGACTTCAGGATGAGAATGCGCTCTTAATGAAGAATCCAAAGTTGACTTGATGATAACGTTCAAACGTCATGAAGTTTTTGTTACTTTCTCCAGCCTTTAGTTGAAATAAACGTTTAATATGTTGATGATGTTGCTGCTGTTGTAGTTGATGATGATGATGATGACTTGATGCTTCTCCTCACCTGTCGACAGTCAAGATAAGACGCTGAAAAAGAAAAGAGAAAAGGACAGATGAAAACGTTGCTGGTTAAACAAAAATGGTTAACTTTGTAAACAAACAATTAGATTTGTAATAGTGAATGAATTACAACCAATTTGTTAATAATTTACTGTTTAGTAATTTGTTTTTGTTTGGTTAAATTGAGAGTTAAATTGTTGATAAATTTATTGGTTAAACTGTTGGTTAGATTGATTAACTGTAACCAGTAACAGCACTTTTTGGGGTTTTTTACTTGACTTGGTTTTATAATACTTATCAAAACACCATTTAAAAAAGCCTGCAACACAATTTAACAGTTGATACGAATCATTTAAGTATTTACATTCTAGTTTGTATTGTAAGTGTTTTTGATTGGCTAAAACCAATCAATTAATTTTTTAAATTAATAATACAATAAATATGCAAGTATTAAATGTGTGTCTGACTTGTTTGACTCTAATATTAATGTATGTTGGTATGGTAATTTTTGTTTTTCAATATTTGCGTTGGTTGTGTGAGAGTCAAAAATGGAAAAGGTAAAAATAATCAAGGTTAATATAAGTAAATATCTAAATGGAAATGATATTAGACTTTAAATATTGATTATATACTTGTTGTTGTTGTTGTTTTTTTTCATGAATCTTTGTATACAAGTACAAAGATTGTGTTGAGTCTAACAATGTTTGTCTGTGTGTGTGTGTTGTGTGAGTATCCAAGTTAACGTTGTACCAAGCATTGAAAAAAACAATGTCACAGTAACAATCAACAAATGATATGAAAATCAATTGTGATAATAAAAAATTCTAGTTTTACGCAATTTAAACTCAATAACTATCATTACCATTTAAATTATAACTTATCATTACTATTGATATCATTTAACCTCATGTTTCTACTTACTTAAAATTACCAGGAAAGAAAAGAGCCAAACCATGTTGAAGGGAAGCAGTTCTTGATGCTGTAGTTTATAGTAGTAGCTTTACTTTGACTGTTGTTATATCATCCTATCTCCTTCTTACGCTGTTGTAACGCTCATCGCCCCTTGGTTAAGAGGTAAAAGAGGACAAAGAAGACTGGAAAAAAAGAAAAGGCAGAAAGAAAGGAAAATATGATGATCGGTTATCTTGTCTCTTCATCATCATTGTAGAAGCTCCCATTTTCCGTGTCCAATACCTGAAAGAAAGATTTGGCTTTAGTCTTTTTTTTTCTTCTACTTGTATCCAACAAAAACGAGTTTGGTAAGATATAATACACAAGGAGGGTGGTGGTTGTAGTGGTGGTAAGAAGGGTGGGAGAGAGAGAGGAAAGAATGAGATGATGATGAAGAAAAAAGAAAGAGAAGATAAATGTGGCTGTAAAAATTGCATTCCGATCTTTCTTGTTTCCCTTTCTTTCAACCTTTCTTTCTCTTGTTGCTCTCACTTGAATCCAGAGAAATAAGTTCAATAACCATTCGCGCTCTTTTTTATCTCTTACTTTTTTCCTCTTTCTACCAGCTTCTCTTCATTCATTTTCATCATCATCATCATCTACTTACTTTAAACCATTCAGCCTTTCTCTATTCATAATGATGAACCTACAATCACAAAAGCAACTTAAACATCTGGTTGGGCGAATCAGAAAATTAGGCAAACTAGTGACATCTATTAAAGCACTTCAACACTTTGAGCGCTCTTTTCAATTTAATAACCAAAGTAACTAATCATTGAGTAACCAGAAAATGTAACCAGTTACTATGTTCAGTTACTTTTTACTTTCCCCTCTTAACCAAGTAACCAGAGAGTTTCTTATTTTTATGCTTCCCCCTTGATTAGTAAATTAAATGAACAATTGAAAGTAAACCGTTTTTTTGTCATTCAAATTTTATTTATTCAGTCACATTCTGCTTATCCTTTTCTCTGTTTCCCCTTTTTCCTTCTTTCTTTCCTCTAACATTACCTTTCTTACATCATGTTGATCCCAAGAGATCAACAACAAATCCTAAACCAGAAGACGATGAAAGTAAATTCGTTTCCCCTTTTCGCTCTCTCACTCTCTTTCTTTGCTCCCTGATTTAAAATATAAAGAGAATAAGACTGAATAAGCCAATGTGTTCTATTCCTCTCTAATTTCTCGTTACCTAATTTCATCTTTTCTTTACCGGTTTCCCATTTTTTTTATTTATTATAAGTACCTTTGCCTTGGTCTTTTGTACCACCAATTTGGATTATAGTTTTGCTCGACAATCAACATTCGGACATACATTGTTTAAGGACCTGGTTTAACCATGAACCAAGATAGTACTTCGGACACTGTTGTCAACAGGTAATTAACCATCATTTCTACATTAAATGACCTTTACTTTCATTTTATTGCCACCTCTCTACTTAGGTAATAAATGTGTGTGTGTGCATCTTTTCAGCTATCTGTTTTCATCATGATTTCTGGTAAATCTCGTCTATACTGTTCATTCAGTTCTATTTCATCTTCGTTCCGTGGATTATTTTTTCTTTCTGTTCTAAGATTATCGTAATTTTTTAGAGTAGAGGCATTTTGAAGCTAATAAGTTGTTGCTTTTCAATATGATTGAAGGCTTTAAAAGCTTAATGTCTTTAAGATTATTCCAACTTACACATTGATTTAAGCTTGAATTCTCTTGCATTTTCCATGCCATTAATATGCTTCATTTTTTCCCACAATTTCATTTCGATAGTCTTTCTTCCGAATTGGAAGCCCTCAAGGAAATTTATCTTAAGGAATTCCAAACTGAAAACGAAGAAAATCGAACCATTGTCTCTGTTAATTTATCTCCATCAACTGCAGATCTTAAAGATAAACAATACGTTTGTTTGACGCTCCAACTCACTGTTTGTAATGATAAGGTAAATAAGCACCTTTCACTGCTAGTTTTTGCATTACCTCAGTCGATTATTATCAAATTTTTCTGGTTCCTGTTTTGTAGTATCCCCAAGAGTCTCCACTGATCCACATTCGCAATCCTCGAGGTCTCAGTGAGGAAACTGTTACAAGGTAGAGTATTAATTTTCGCTAATTTTGAACTTTACATCAGTGTGTTTAAATATTTTTTCATTTGTATCTTTTATCATCTAGGATTATCGCTGATCTTAACAAAATTGCTGAAGACAGGAAAGGCACAAATATGCTTTATCATTTAATTGATTTTGTTAAAGAATCTTTAACCTCCAATAATTTCCCAAGTGATAAATGTATGATATGTCTTTATGAATTCACCAAGGAAGATGTATTCGTGGTTACCAAATGTTTTCATCATTTTCACTGTTATTGTTTAGCTCACTACATACAGAAAACAGAGGCAGAATCAACAGAAGCGAATGGACCTGCTAATGGAGAAAAGTCTAGTGATAGTGATTCTCAACCATGTCCCGTTTGCCGTGAAGATCAAGATTTTACTAGCTTAGTAAAACAAGTTGATTATCCACCACCTTCCTTGTCGAGTAAGCCTATTCCAGGAGAAAATGTCATTCTGGAGGAAGCCAGACAGAAGCAAGAATCGTTCGCACCAATATTTGAGAAGCAGCAGCAGCAAGGTGGTATCATCAACGAGGAGGAAGAAAAGAACAAGTTTTTACTTCGAACATCAGACTCAAATGCAAGCAATCCCAGTTCATCAACCAGTGAATCTACTTCTAAACAGAATTCACCTTCAAAATCTTCAGAAACTTTGAAAGCTAGTGTGATATCAGCTGATACCAATCCAGTTCCACAAGAGAAAGTTAAAGATGATGCTAAGTCAGGATCAGTTGAATCTTCCACTTCTAATGGACACCTCACAAATGAGAACAAAGTAGACGAAAAGGAAGAAGATGGTGATGACAAAAATGAAGAATGGTCTGATGCTAAGCCAGAAATATCTTCGGATATTGTTGAAGTCAAAGACGAATCTAAGGATGAATCCAAAACATCTACTGAATCAAAGACAGATGATCCGTCCAAATCTGAAGCTGGTTCAAACAAGGAAGAAACTGAGATTACCAATGGCAAAACAGAGAGTGAGACTGAAGCTAAAGATAGTGCAGCAGAAAAAGATGGTAGCAAAGATAAATCAAAGCGCAACAAATCTAGTCGTCGAAACTCACGACGAAATCGAACAAGATCTTCGGGACGAAGAGCAAGTGCCGGAGATGGAACCACTAAGACTACTAATGGTGATGATGTTTCTCAAAATAACGGTCGACGTAATCGTTCTCGACGACGAAACCGAACCAATAGTTATGATCCAAATACATATGGAGGTGACCCCAGATCTCAAAATTACCGACCAAATAATCGTGGACAACCTCGAATGCGAGGACGTGGTCGAAACAATAATGTTGGTTACTCAAGTAATGGAGGTCTTCCATCTCCCCCATACAAGCGCAATTTCGGTACTGCATCTTATGCTGAAGAGAATAGTAACTATCGATCTGATGCTTACTCTCAAGACACCTATCGTGATCGTGATAGACCTGGTTTCTATGCTGCTCGTGTCATTAGGCCGAGTGTGGGAAACAATGCAAACACTAAAGTTCGAAATGGAACAAGAGGAAGTGAAGATTCTTCCAAAGCAAGTATCTCTCCTCAAGCAGATTCCAGCGAAGTAACTCAAAGTACAAGTGAACAAGAGCAGCAAACTCGAACCCGCAGTCGAAGTAAGAACAAGCGAAGGAATCGACGAAATCGCACAGCAAGTCGAAGCCAAAATGGACGTCATAGTGAAAGTGATTATCAAAATTCCAATCAACAAGGGAATGACTACTCAAATTCTAACTCTAACAAGATGAATAACCGTCAAGGTTATAATTATAACTACAATAACTACAGATCTCAAGGTTAGTTGATTACCAGTTTCTTTCGTTTGCAAACCTTAGACTATTGGTCATCTTGGTTTGTTTAACTTTTACTCACTTTCAATTAATTTATTTTCGCTTCCCGTCTTTATTTAATTAGGTTCATATGGGCGTAGTTCATATGGAGGAGGCTATTATAATGGTAATTATCCAAACTTTAGCTATGGGTATAGTGCTAACTACAATGGATACGGAAATGGGTATAATAATAATTATAATAACAATTACTATGGTCGTTACAATGGAAATTATGGAAACTATTATCGTCAAAGGCCTAACTACAATCGAGTTCAACAGCGTAATGATAATTATCGACCCAACTACAAGCCCAGAAAAAGGACTGATACTGGACAAAGCCAGTCGTCTGTAAAATCAAACAGCAATAATAAGACGACAGAGACTGTCCCAGTTCAGACTGAAAATGGAACTGTGGTTGAAATTGTTGCTTAAATTTCGAAATTTACATTTAAAAAATTTGTATCTCTTTTGTCACTACCCTTTGCCGTAATACTTAATCTTTAGATTCAATTCGGCAGTTATAATCTGTAATCAGATTAAGAAAAAAAAGTATGAAAAGTTATGAAAGGAAAAATCAGTTACATTGGGATTTGATTTTTCTCTAACTAAAAAAATATTTGGAATTATGGTGAAGTTTTGAAAAACAAACTTTACTAAGAGCCTAAACTGATCTTTTGAAATTTGTAAGAAAATAAATATTTTGGCTCTAATCAAATCGTTCCAATTATTCCAATTTTTATCTCGACAAACAAAGTTGCCAAGTAAGACTTGAATTTTAATCAGTCTACTAGAGCTCCAAATTGAAGATGAAATTGTCTTCACATTTCTCTGGCAGAAATAAATAGAAGCCAATAATCAAATTAATCATCAATAGATTTTACAGAAACACTGAATTTATCACAATATTAAATATTTGTTCAAGCTGATTACTTGATGCTTAAGAATCGGTTTTTGCTTCAACTTTAACCCGCTGAATAATCAAAGCGTAGTTTATGTGACTTTAACAGGTTTACGATCTAAAGATTGAATCCAATGTTGCCACCGAAATAAATGTAGGATAATATTCGCTATTTATCTTGACACTTGAACAGCATTTCCTAAAGCTCGAGATGTAATCTTTAAAAATTAAATCAAAGCTTGCAAATGTTTACTCATAATTGTAGTCTAAATAACCAAATTATCTTGAAACATTTATAGACTTAGATACAATGTCAAAAAGTTGATACTTTGATGATGATAAACTTTAGCTCAATTTGTTATAAAAGTGTTCTAATTGTCATTTAATCGGTTAAAATTCGTCACTTGATTGGATGAAGTAGCAAAGGCCCTCAGAAGATGGCGTTTCCTCCAACGTTTTCAGTTTGTCAAAATGGTTTTGATTTTTAATCAGTTTGTATCATTTTTCAGTTAAACATTTGATTTGTTTACTTTTTATTCATTCCCTAATAAGCGATCTTCAGAAAAAAGTCTCAACCAACCAAACAATAGTAAGTATTACAAGTATTTATTCCCTCAATTCCATGATTTTAACAACTTTTTATCTCTATTGTTTCCCAGGTAATGACTTCTGACTCGCCGTGCTTATTGAAAGGATTTACAGTAAACTTGTATCTGGATTATAATCTGCTTGGTAACTGGATAAACGAGCTAAATTGCCTTTAAAATGATCTACTGTTAATTGTTGTTCCATCTATAAACCAGATTAGATCCCTTGCTTAGTTACTGTTTTAAATAATTAACTGGTAACAAATGGAGTATAAATTGAACAAGAATGGATAGCAAGCTTTGTTTTTCAAACCTCAACCCTGGAGTAACCCAAGAATAGAGATTAACTCTGAAACAAGGTTCAATAAAAATGTAAATTAACCTGAAAACAGTCCTGATTAGTCAACAACTTATTTATCCACTCTATTTGCAAAAAAGAAAGATCGAAAGCCAATCTCTGCTTATTAATTGAAAATGGCCATTTCAAATGTTCCCTTTGCTTCCATTGTTGTTGGATATGTTGAAAATGATTTATAACTCATTCATCTTTAATCAAAATCACAATTTGTTTACAGCATCTGTAACTTTCATGCATTAAAAGCATAGAAGGTTACAAAAAATAAAAGCTTGGTTTGTATTCAATCAGCAAGCCAAACTCATTTGAAACATTCAATAAAAAAGTAAAGGCTTGAGTTGTGTTTAAATAATAATGTGCGAGTAACCCTAATAAAATACAACAATCTACATTGTCCAAAATTTGAAAATGAATAATCAATGTGAAGGAAAGAGGATCAACTCAAGTAAAATGGTTCCTTTAGTTAACTTCACCAACAGGAAAAAAAAGGTGAACAAAGTTGAGAGTCTCAAAGGTAAAAGTGAAGATTTGAGAGAAGCAAGTCTCACAAGAGTATTCATGTTATTAAATATTATAAATTTACTTTCATCATGGATCGTTTCATTTTCAAACATTTACCTCATTATATTTCATCAATAAATATCTAAATAAATATGCACAAAAAGAGTTGAACAGCCATTTTAGGCAATTCATTAGGTTAAATGTACACTTTACCGGTTTATCCTGATAAAAGTGTTAAACTCTCGAAGGATTTTTTTCTAGCAAAGTTGATTCCAAGATGAAGGATTCATGATTTTCAATATGCTTAATTGTCCGTTCCTTGGCTCAACAATTGAACCTTTTTAAACACACTTTGCAACTCAGTTAACTCGAAGCAAATTGCAAAAAAACCTGCAACAAGAAAAAAAATCAAACTTGAATTCAATGTAAAACATGAGTTACAATAAACTTCACCAAAATCTTGACTGAAATTTTTCAATAAACTGGTTATTCCTGACTAACCTGAACACTTCATGAGCTGTAACCTTTCATCAAGAATAAGAAAATTTTGATTTCCACAAAATTTCCAAATCAATTGAAAGAATCAAAAAGATTGATCAAAATATCTCAAATCATTTAGACTAAAATGTTTCTAATTACTTTTGTTTTGACCAAAAAAATGAAAAATGCAATTGAAAGTGAAAGGTCAAAATGAGTTAACAACTGGACAAACCTTTTTTTGTGTGAAAAATACTTGAAACTGTAAACCTGAAAGGCTTTTCATTTGAAGAAAAGTTTCAAAAAAAGAAGAAAAAAATAATAAAAAACTAGGAAGAAGAGGAAATGAGGAGAAGAAGAAGAAAATGAAATGAGCTAAAGAAATTGGAACAATGCGAATAAGAATGAGAATTATAATAATACAGAAGAAATAAAATTCTGGTGAAAAGAAAGGAAAAGGTAAAAAGCATAAAGAATACAAGATATATTAATACAATGAAATAACAGAATAGAAGTTAGAAGAAAGTAGAAACGAAATTGTACGAATATGTCTTGAATCTGAAGCATTTTATCACAAAATTTATCACTGAACGTGATGTGAAAATATGACAACTTGTATTATTGTTATCAGCCTTTTCCTTGCAGGGGACATTTTTGCTGGCTTTCTCTGAGTTACTTACTTGAAATGTACTTTGAAAGATTAAGAAATGTAATCAGGTAACTGGGAGGGAAAAGTGTGATAAACAAAAGTCGATAAGTGATATTTACTAATAATGTTAATCTCATGTTTGAGCTTTGGTTTTTGAGTTTAAACTCAATTTCAAGTTGTGTGCTGTTTAAAGGATCGTTTAATGGCCTTATTCAATAGACTCTTGTCTCGATGTTTTTCACTCCCAGTTATCCTTTCATCGTTTTCAAATCTTTTCATCATTGTAGTCATCATTATCATCTGTATTGTAACTCTGAATAGGGAAAGAAGAAGATAAAAGATGTTCCATTGTGCTCTTAATAATCTTTCAATAAGATTTTTTTTATTATACTTTTACTTTCCATCTTGTTCATCTTCTTCTTCATTGAATCAATCATTATATTCATTCCTTGTTCTTTGATAACAATTTTTATGTTCAATTCAACATTTTCAATATTATAATCTTGACTGCCTTCACAGGGATGTGCTTTAACCTTTTCCTCTTCATCTCTCTATTCTTAACCCATATAAGTGCTTCTCTCGGTTGATGGAGTAAAATTATGAATAAATATCTCTTTCAATAACGAGACTTAACCCAAATTTGACCCATCAGGAAATTCAAGCATTAATTTTGGATTATTTTCTAATTCTCTTTACAATCCATTCCAATGCATATTTCATAGCTAATCTATTCATTATTCAGCTCTTCAGAGTCTATTCTAGTTTCAAGTCTTAAACGTTGTAAGAAACTCAGTTTACGTTGGAAAGAAAACTAAAGAATCGAATTTGGAATTGTAACAAAAATATCTTTTTCATTGAGAAAACAATAAGTTATGAAATGATAAGTGCATTCTTTCGTCTTACAGAATGCTTGACATTGGATTCCTTATGCAATTTAGATGCTTGAATAGGATGCCGCTAGCATTTTGCATGCTACACTTGCTATTCATTCACAGAAGAACAACAGTTATTCACTTTCTAATAGTTTGCAAATAGTTTCAATTGTTTTTATCGACTTCAGAATTGAAATAAGAACAATGAACCAACTAATTTGAGTTGATCTACTCCATGGTTAAGTTAAAGGCACTAAAAGTTTGATCAGAAATTGTGCTTTTTCTTCTTGCAATAATGGCTGGTCAAAGGGATTTAAGTTTAGTTCGGCATTGTGCCAGCAGTGCAGCGATCCCCTGGAAAAACGAAAATGTTTTCTCATAGATGCGAACAAATATCGATGGGAAAACGCTCAAAAGTCAAATTTTTCGTCGACAATCTAAATCAAAATGCATAAATCTTTCTTGAATGTTGAGAAGTAGATATTGTAAAACTTCACGGTTATAAATGAGCCAAACTGCAGTAAAACAATGTTAACTTTATCGATCCAAGTAGCTACTATTCAGACTAGTCGTACCGAATCATAGAACTGCATGAATTGATAAAGCAGGAGCTTCGACTTACACTGTATATACTAAAAGATGAGGAAGTGGACTCACAATTTACAATCATAAAGATTTACATATAGAGGCCAAAGTAGTAAAATCCATTAAAGTTATCAAAGTGTTAAAACGGGTGGAAGTCATCAAGTCACATACGGAGTTGACCAAAGAAAGAAAAGTTGTAAAACTTAGCCTCGATTTAAATAATAAATAACAGCGCATTAATGAACTTGTTGAGCTGAAATCATTGCAATACTTCAATTACTGTAATTTTGAGCTTTATCAGATTATTCCTTTGCAACAATTAAAATTGCCTCTGAAATGCATCTTAACAAATACTTTGAATAACTGATTCCTTCCTAAAAATCTTTAACTTTTTCGTGGATCGATCTGCCGATGCAAGATTTCCTTGTTAATCATTCTGTCTAGTTAATTAGACAATTTAATTCGTGCTGAACCTTTGCAATTTTCTCCTCGAATCAAAATATTTGATGAAATTTCAACTGTTGTGCATTTGTCTAAATATTGTAAAATCCAAGTACAGAATTTATGAAATCGAAAAATGTCCAAATTAGTTCTTAAACATAATATCATAAAACTAAGCTCTACTATTGTTATTTACACTTGGACAGTTTCCATCTTTTCAACTCTAGAAGTATTAATTTATTTAACTTTCATCGCCGATCCAAATGTAAATTTGCCCAAAAATGATAGTTTAACTGGTTGAGTTAAATTGAGAAAATAAATCACGATTGTAATGAGATTATTGTTGATCACACACACAACACTCGATTCAATCATTTATTTGATTCCATTTTTTGCTTCTAACTGATTCTTCTTCTCTTTGATTCACAAGTCAACTATTTATCATTCAATGAAGAACACTTTTTCTTATCTCAAAGCAATATATTATTAGTTATATTAATAACATCTACAGTTAGACTGTGTTCTGTGAACATGATGAGTTCACAAGCAATTAGATTTTGAACGGTTCAACTGACAGACTTTTTGTTCACTTTGATAACCCAAAGAAGAAACAAATCAAAACCCGATTAACCCAGAAAACGAAGCAAACAGTCAACAGTTTGAAAAAAAGGTTTGAAATGGCATTTACAATTGCAAATTTAAAAGTCCCTTTCATCAGATTGAAAAGGATCAGACTGAAGATCAACAATTTTGTTCAATCACAAAACTGTTTTTTACTCGTCATTTGATCTCTTAAACTGAAGACAAAAGTAAAATGTGATTTAAGTTAAGCTTTCAATTGAAAATCGAAACAAAGTTCAATTTGATCGAACCATTTGACGATCATGAAAATGTCGAGAAAATGACTTTTTCCTTGGATTACCCGATATTTGATTAATTGGTTGCATAAACAGTTTCCTTTCGATTTAAGGATAAAAAGTAAATCTTCGATTTTACTGTTTCAATGACTTCTCAATTGGATATTGGATTGTTGTCCAATGGTCAGTCCAATGTTTCCTTTTTTGGGTTTCTTCGCCTTCTTTTTGCGCAATTCACAAGCAAAGGTAATATCGTCATTTTTATATTAACCAGTCAACTGAATAAGTATATTTCAATGGTTGAGGTAAGTTTCAGATTGAATGTTGCCTGGGTTAAGATGATAATAGATACAGGAAGATGAAGATAACAATAAATATCATAATAGAGGAAAGGGACTTATAATGGTTCATCTAAATCCAAGTCCGGTTCTGGCTTAAAATTGATTCACTTTCAGATAATTTAAACATCATCATCTTCTTGTTGGTCTTCTTTGGAAATAAAATGTTTCCCTTCTCTCTTTTGTACCACTTTTTTAACCTAACATTGAACCGCAAATATCATTTGATGAAAAATTGAATCCAAAAGGATTTGAGGCTAGAAATGATGAAAAAAAACCTTGAAATTGCTGTTGATGTCTTTCACTTTACAGTTTAATATTGCTTTTTTTGGCCAACAAAATTGTCATCCTGGATAACAATCAAAACTGATTTAGGCATTAAATTGCAAAAGTGAAACTCAGTTCACACCAAAAATGGAACTTTGCAATTTTTGCTTAAATTTCCAAATTCGCATTCAAATACTTTGCCTCCAATGATCAAATCGTCCCAATCCAATTAAAATCTCGACAAACAAAGTTACCAGTAAAACTTGAATTTCAATCAGCCCACTAGAGTTCAAAATCGAAGATGAAATTGTCTTCACATTTCTCTGGTGGAAATAAATATAAGCCAATAATCAAATTAATTATCAATGGATTTTGCAGCAACACTGAATTTATCACAATATTAAATATTATTCGCTATTAATCTTGACACTTGAACAGCATTTCCTCAGCTCGAAATGCAATCTGCAAAAATTAAATCAAAGTTATCAAAATGTTTACTCGTTATTGGAGTCTAAATAACCAAATTATCTTGATACATTTAGTGCTTTCGATAGAACGACAATTTGATACTTTTATTGTGGGAATCAAGTTTACTATTTGTTATAAAAAATGTTCTAATTGTCGGTAAATCTGTTAGAATTCGTTATTTTGTTCGAAGAAGTAGCAAAGGTCTACAGAAGATGGCGTTTACTGCAAGTGTATAACAAAAGGTAGGACGCAATGTTAACTATCCTAACTTGGCAGATACATTTGGCAGATTCCTTTGAATTCATTTTAGTTTAGATTCCCTGTTGAATCATGATTGCCTCTCAATTATGGGAAAGCTGCCAAATGTATTACCTTTTCATGTGTTTATTATTGATACAATTGAATTTAAATGTTTGTGATTTAATATCAACATCTAAAAATGTTAACCCGTTAACAAGGTTAACCAATCCACTTGGAAATCCGATTAATCTAAATAACAATATTAATAGTAATAACGTTAATCACCTTAATATGAACAACATGAATAGTTTACATAATCTTAATAGTTACAATAGTGTTAATAATGTTAGGTTAAACAAGTGCAATCGTGATTTACCTGGAACATCGCCTAAAAAAATTCCTGGTGATAATGGATTTAAGATTAAAATTACCGGTGATAAAGAAAAGTTCAAACCTGGTGAACTTTATACAAGTAAGTGTTCAATATTAATCTGTAAAACAAAATAACAGGGAATGAAAGGTCATCAGTTATCAAATGCTACAATTTAAGGGATGAAAAAAAAGACGATGACAGAAGGATATTTTTAACGTAAATACAAATTTGAATGTTAATGATGAAAAAGTGACACAAGTCAAAGGAAAAGGCATCAAAAGAGTCAACTAAAAGTTTATATACATTGTAAAGGGTGAAATATGTCATTTTAGAAAAGGAAAAGAATAGAGAAAAAAAAGTTCGAAATAGAAACCAATTGCATCTAAAATTGATAGTGACAAGAGTGAGGTGAAGATGGGAAGATGAAGAGTGAGAAAGAGTATGAATATTGTACAACATTTTGCCTGTCAAGTTCACAGTTGCAAACGTCGACTTGCATTCAAAATGGCTTGTTGTACACTCGAGTCACATTGAACCAGGTTATGAGTTACACCAATAAACAACTTTTTTTTGTCTTCCTTTGCCTTCCAACAACAATCCAGTCAAGTCTTTTTTTTCTTCCTTCCTTCTTCTGTTACAACAATCCAGTAAAAATATGATCATATTAACATGATATTAACGTTTCATGTGTGCATTCAGTCAATTGATATTATTGCAAAGGGATTTTTGTTTTGACGACATCGATATTAACACATATTAAAATATCACTCTTGGAAAGGTGTAGAAATGAGAAAAGTTGTTGCACAAAAGAAACAAAAAAAACAAGTTTAATCAATTGTTTCTGTCATATCGACATTTGATCAACTTTTACAAATCATTCTGTCAATAATGCAAATCCAAGAGGCAAAAGTTTTACAACTTTTCCCTCGAGTTTCACCTTTTCATTGGCTTTGTAAAATGATTGCAATTTCATCTTCGACTTGTCATCAAATTTCGAGATTCAGTCAATTCTCAGAAAAAGAAATTCATTTTTCGATCAATGAAATCACTTGTTCGAAGCTATGCAGATCATCGAATGAATCAATTAGAAGGAATTTCTTTTCGAGTTCGATGTTGATTATAATAATGTTAATTTAGAGAACTTCAATTGAAGACTTTCAACCTTTTTTAATAACTTGATGAGAAGTTGAATCGAGTTTGAAAAGTTGAAGTTTTTTCTTCCTTTTGTGTGGCAACATGGTGGAAGAGTTGGTGACTTGATAACTGGAGAGTGAAAGATGAACTGAAAAATTAGATGAAAATAAAGATTAAAAATGAAGATGATAAATATGATCATCAGGTCAGCATAACTTTGCACTTTCATTTTTCAATGAACCAGTTGACAGTATATTAACAATATTTTGACAGGTAATTTGTTCTCAACGGTTTTGCTTCCTCTTTTTTTCATTCACTTTTCAGCCAGGTTACATCGTCGTTGAATCAATCAACCAACCAGTCAATTGTAAGTTTTGTCCTTCATTTTTGTTCGTTCTTCTTCACCTATCAATTCATACCAAGTTGAGTGAAATGATAAATTGAAAGATTTCGTTCAAGACTGAGTTTCAATTATCTGGTGAATCCATTGATTAAACGTGATTAACTTTGATTTTTAATTTGCTTCTAGTTTTGAAGAGTTGAAAGAGTTTCGAGTTTTTGGGAAGAGTTTTTCACTGTTTACCTGGAAATGGGTTAAGAAATCGATAAATGCATTAAGAAATTGAAATGAATGAAGTTGTGAACAATAATTAACCTCAATAATGGAGGATAATTAATATTGGTTGAAACTAATTATTAAAGGTGCAAGTTTTACAAAGAGTAAGCAAGTTCTGAATGGATTCTGTGAAAGGTTTGGATAATTGCTGCTGCTAAATGGAGAAACAATTTAGTGAGCAAATAAACTTAATTTCAACGTAATCGTGTTTTAAACTCAATGCAGTGAACATCAGACGAAACTAAACTTATCAATTAAAGGCCTTTTCATTGCAATTGTTTAAACGAAATGCAAGGTGAAGTGGAAGGGCTGTTATTAGATTGTCTGGTTTGTGTTTTTGTTTCTCGACCTTTTCATCATTCAATTGATAACTTACGAAATTTATTGCACAGAAAATATATTCGTTATCAACTTCAATGACTTCAAGCATTCAGGTAACTTCAAAACTTCATTGTGGAATTGCAGCTAAATTATAACAGTTTAAACTTAAGATTCATTCTGCTTCAGCGATTGCAAAAGCTTGGACAAAGTCTACAAAAGATGAATTTCACAGAAATTTTCATTTCTCTCTCAGAATATTTATCGAATAGAATTTGTGGAGAAGCGATTCAAAAACAAATCTGAACAAGTCGATTAAACCGGTGAATTAAACATCTTACAAGAGAATGTTTTTAGTTCGTCAAAAAGTGTGAATACGAAGTAAAGCATTACCTTGTTAGTAAATCCATCAAGAGACTTAGTTGACTCGATGCAAGTTGACTGAATATGTTTTGTTGCGAACTTTGGAATGCACGGAGAGCTTGGTTAACCGAATAAGAATATTTGGTTTTTGAAACATTTTAGCAATACTTATACATGACAAGCATATTGAAATGATTAAGTCTATGGAAATTCCGTTGATCTCTGTCCAATCCGCAAAGCAAGCTCTAAGCAACTCGAAAGCGCTTTACTAGTAATTTGGTTCATGCTTTGGTATCCAATCCATATCAAACTGAAACTAAATGCAAACGAAGAAGATATTTTATTCCTGAAAAGCATTAGACTTTCAAATCGTTCACTGAAATCTGTGTTATTTAAAAAGCACTGAAATCAGCGAGTTTAGCCAAACTTCGATTATTCTTATGAAAATGTTTCTTTCGATTAAACTTGATTTTAATTTGAATCATTTGTAAATTTATGTATTCAGTTCTGTAAATAAACAGATAAGTTTCAGTAAAGCAACAAGTCAATAAAGTTAATTTTGAGAATTGAATGAATCTATTCATTTTTATTGCGCATCATAATTAAGAAGGCTTTTGTTGAAAGGTTAAATTGACTAATGAAACAATTGCATTTATTATTTGTAAATGTTATGAAAAACGAAGGGAGTTTATTCACAATGCACTGGGATTGAATTTGATATAAATGAACTTGCCTTTTATCATGAAATAATCATATTATCAGGAGAAGCAAGAAGAAAGATGAGATTGAAATGAGCTTTAAATGAAACAAGTTTTAATATTTAATAAAGTAACCTGATTATGATACAATTAAAATGAGATGAAAAGCAAAATTAAAATGTACAAAAGGTTTGCTTTAAAAAGTAATGAGCAATGGATTCGTTTTAATCATTATTTAAATGCGTTAATTAACAATCTGTTGGTTAAAAGTTTCACAGTTACAATGTTCATTAAAAGAGTGAATAATTTAATTGCAATCAGTTTAATCTCCAATGAAATGTAAATAATTCAATTTTGTTTTTCGCTTTTCACAAAACTCGATCATTTGTAAGCATTTTGCTATTATTTGTAAAACAAAAGTAATCAACTAAACGGGCTTGAAAGTTTGCATAAATATTGTTCTGGAATAATAGAGTTCAATTCAACTAATCTCTTGCTTTGTTTTCAATTGAACGATCAAACAATTTAGTTGTACTTTTGGGACATAAAACGACTTATCAAGTTCAAAAATTTATTGGATTCATGTTGGTTGTGGAACCTCGTGAATGGCCTGATAACAGCAGTCTTTCATCACCTGGAGTTATCCAGAGTCCTTCGCAATCTCCAGAAATCGGGTCATTTCAGGTAATATTATCAACTGTTTGAACAAATGTTTGCAATTGCATGAGAAATCAAATACTCTGAAGCAATGCAATGTTTGGCTATCATCTTGATCTGCATTCATGTTTAAAATGTATTTTTATTCTCTCTTTGATTCGCAGCTCTTTGGTGACGCTCTCATCAAGATATCTGAAGATTGTCCGAATGCAATTCTCCATACATCAGATATTCCTAAATCAGAGGTTCAAGCTATGTGGCAGGCTCCATCCAATCCAACAGGATGTGTTGTCTTCAAGTAAGTAATAACTTGTAGCTTTATCAACGATTGAGTTTGAAACGGTAAAGATGTGAATAAATTTGTTTACTACATGCAAGTCTCTGCACAAGTCCAACATTTGCCAACTTGATGTCAATGTTTCTAAAACGAGTTTATTAGCTTTAGTAAATCGATAAATGCAAACGGAATCAAACGATTTAGCGAATCATATTGTTAGAAGAAATTCTTTGCAACTCTGAAGCAAATTCCTAGCAAATATAAATGAATAACAATCAATGAAACAGTTTTAAAAAACAAAAATTTTGGAAATAAGTTTTCTTTTTATTCCATCAATCTTGTTTGCTATGGATAATAACATCTTTCAATCTTTCGGCAAAAGGCAAGCATTAAATCGAAACTTCCCTGTAAACAGAAATATCTTGTTCTTTGATCCACTTGAAATCTTTGATCAAATAGATTGACATAATAGACGGTATCGTTAATCAACTGTGTAACAACTTTTAGACAATTGAATGAGTTCGCCTTAAAAGATCAAAACTTAGTCAATCAATGCAAACTGAGTTTAAAGACGAGATGGTTCATGACAGAATTGCTTGAATAATACAGTTGTAAAGATGGAAAAGTAATCGATATGATTGAAATTGATGAATTGTGAGCAACCTGGAATTTCATCTTTAATTTGGACAATAGCAAACCATTTGACCATTGACAATCCAATGGAAGGTAAAATTTAAAAGCAAAATGATTAAACAATTCAAGTTGAAATGACAATTAATCAAAAAGCAAAGTTATGATCTTTTCCTTTTGCATTCCGAGTTTGCTGTATTAACCAAGAAACTATGATAACAATAATTAATAGGCAATATCAAGGGATTGCAAGGGAAACTGTTGTCTGGTTAAGTTGAACTTTCAATTTGAGAAAAAGTTAAACAATGAAAAGATGATTAATGTAAAAAAGGTTTACAATTATGTCCATGTTTATGATTAAAGACTGGCTATTAATTGTGACCAGAAAATAAAAGATGCAAGAAGAGGATAAAGGGAAGGAATCAGGTTTACTCTCAACACTTTTACTCGACTCATTTTCATCAACTTTTATCAATTGCTATTCATTGTACAACAAGTACAAGTGTTTACAGTAAAACAACTGATTAATGACTGTAAGTAAACAACAATTAACAAACATTAAACTAAGCTTTCACCAAAAACAGCAGCAACAACAAAATAGCCCAACAATCCCATTGTATTAACCCAAAAGTATGGCAACTTGATAATGGCTGATAATTGTTTGTGTTTGGGTTTAATAATTCATCACAACGATTCAATGTCACCATGAAAGAGAAGGAGTTGAGGAATTGCAGGTTTAGTAAATGGATTTAGGCTTCTGGTTCATCTGTTGGTTTAGCTGTTAATTTAGACAATCAGTAGTAATCAGAGTAATTAGCGTTTAGATTTTCGATTTTCTCTCTTTTCTTATTTCTGTGTGTTTGCACTTTTTGCTGGTTTCTTGCTTACGTTTCATGTTTACATGCTGATTGATGTTCGTTCATCAAGATCATTATGATCTCTAGATCAAGATGATTCTTCATTTCCTGGAGAATCAACAATCAAACCCAAAACCAGGAAATTCAATTTACAGCATCAACTGTGTACAATCATTTTGCAAGTTGATCATCTTGATCAACTGTTAATTTGACCTTACCAATGGTTTGGGAAAGTGAAACTTTCTGATTGAAACTTGTTTACTATTCTTGTTTTGGGTAATTGAAATTACTCTTGGTTTCCTTGTTGCAATACTTTACTAATCATTTACAATATTCAACTTTTTTCAGGCTTTATTATTGAAAATAATTCAATATGTATGATTGTATTGTGAACAAATAGCAAGATTAACATTACAATAATGTTGTTGGTTGCATTGAGTTTGGTTAGTTTTGTAACAAAATTGTAAAGAACCATGAAAAGTCTTTATTGCTTATGATAATTAACTTGTTAAAGTTGATTTCATTTAATAAATTTTATTCACTTTTTCGATTCAATTTTATGCCTTTTCACCTTCGTTCAACTCGTTTGATCAGCCAACTGCGAAGTTCAGAGCAATCAAGCCTTTTTAATACATTCAAATTGTTCTTCAGGTGAAAACTAAATTGCAAAGACAAATACAATAGCACTTAAAACAATTCAAAATACGCAAAATATCAATAAGTTTTTCGCTTTTTACAGATGCATTAAACATTGAACACACACACTAAGCAATAATTTATTCCAATGATTAACTCCAATTGAGATGCTAAATGATTTACAGACTCTTATATTAATACTTATGTCTCTTCGGAATAATTAGTCCAATCACATAAGTGGCTTTAGAAGCAAAGACATTTGCAAAAGTGACAAACCTCAATGATTCTCAACAGAAGTAGAACCCAAAGCAAGTAAATTAACTTGATTGCATTGAGTCTTGCAGTTTCTGGTTGTGTTTCGGGTTATCCTTTGACTTGAGTTGAGGCTTCTAACTGCGGACATTTCTACGATTTTCAGCATTCTAATAGTTCTTTTGGATATTTTACACATCAATCGACTTATACAATGTTGTTCCTGTAAATTTTCATCTTAATTGCAATTTGTGGAGAAAAAGTTGAACCAAAATATTTGCAAAGGACAGTTTATCCATCAATTGAGTTTATTGTATCTGAAATTAGTATCAATATCAAAGTGATGAGATTTGTTAATATTGAATATCGAGATGATGAAGCCGAAGGAAGATAAAGGTGGAAATAAATTGCAATTTAATGGTCTCAAAGGTGATGATAATAACAGTTGAACATAAATGTAGTTAGTGGCTATTGGAATGGTAAAGTGATTTTCGTTTTTCTCTTTCTTTCCATTTACCTTTTTTCTCAGCAAATGAAACAATTTCTTCTCTCATTGAAATGAAATTGTAAACATTTTCCTTCAACACTTACAATGTTAAAAGGTAAAACCCTTATTAATTGAAATAAATACATGAAAGATAAAAATTAACTCCCAGTATAACATTATTGGTAGCAAATGAAAAGGTAAAGTGACTCTGACAAAATGAGTAAAGTAATGTTCTGACATGAAGAATCTATTGAGAGAGGAAAGTTGAGTAAAGATAACATTTGGTGTGTATGAAGATGATGAATCTGAGAGAGAGAATGAAATTTAATGGCAAAAGAAGAGAAGAAGAGTTTCCATCAGAATCAAGGAATCTGTTCGTTTTGCTTGTGATAAAGCATCAAACCAAGAATGATGATCATTTTTATCATTAAAAAGAAAGGCTCATAAATGGTTATATTACCTTGTAAGGTTGGAAAACACTTTGCAAGTAAACTCAAATTTTGGTTGCTTCAATGAATTTTCATTGTTAAATTGATCATTTAAGTTATTGTTTATTTCGTTGTAAGGTTAACAATTGTTCAGCTTGTTTAGTTTTCCATCAATTTTACCGTCAAAAGTTGAACATTTTTCCTTCTTTTCCACCTTTTTCGTTGAGCAAGTTGATGGAAACAAAAAAGCCAGTGAAAAGGGTTCACTAAACAGTTGACACTTGAACATTGGAAAGCTTCTTGTTCACTTTACCATCTTTATTATCATTACAATGCTCAGTCAACTCGCTTTTCAAACATGAGTCTAGTTAATTAAATTAATTTAGCAACATTTTTCAAGCTCAAGTATCAGCTCAGTTCATATTAATCATCTTCATTCTCATGTTTGCTCTCTTTTACCTTGTTAACATTGACATAGTGCTAAATGGCAAATGCTTCACTTTAATCGGATAAACCTTCTTCTCCTGTCTTTCTGTCAATCAAAAATACCATTTCGCTCCTTTAATAACCATCAAAGTCGAATCAATGTTTCTTTTGCAACGAATTGCTAGAACTAAGAAAACATTTGCTCGAATCTAAAATGGTTTACATTGATTCGATAAACTTTATTCAAACTTCGTTTGAGTTTTGTACAAATCTGCAAATTTGACTTAAAACTTTGTTTCTCGCAAAAGCTGGGACAAAAGGCAATGTTTAATGTTTGAAGCAATTCAATTGATTGTTTATATCTTAGCATTTGAGGCAATTTATGAGTTAGATCGATGTTAATTCAACTTGAGCTTGCTGGTTGAGATCGTCCAGGTTTGTGTCAGATCTCAACTCTCATAGTTGCTTTAAAATGTTCAAAGTTGGATAACTTTTGTTATAAATGTATTGAATTATGAACTGTGATTGAAGTGTTAATTTGGAAGTTGATTTGTTTTAATAATGATTTGATGAAGTAAATGAAAGTTAATTTAGTTCATGAATAAGTTCAGTGTGTCCAAAACATAATAGTTATTCAAGTCTGCTTTAAGGACTAACCATTAAAGGTTTGCTCGAGTTGAAGAGTATAATAGTTTCAATGTTTCACTAAGAAAACGATAATATAATGTGTTCATTGAGCGCAAAGTTTAACTGAATCAATAGAGTCACCCTCATAACACCTGAAGTAAGTAATAAGAGTATGAAAAATCTCATTAATTGAATAATCTTGAATTGTTATCTTGACATGAAACGGTTGATAAATGTTGGACACAACAGAAGCCCGGAAATGAGAGTTGTTTACTTTGAGCGGCAAGAAAGTGATTAAAGTGAAAGGAAAATGCTAAAAATGAGAAAATGTAATCAAATTTAATGAATCTCAAGAATAAATGGTGATGATAATGATTAACTATGAGAAGTAAAAAAAGAGAGAACCAAAAAATCAACTATTTCACCTCAAGGTGTGTTCACTGTGTTAATTAAAGGTAATTCAATCAAGACTGAAAGAGAGTAAAAGAAAAGTAAAAGAATAATTCCAAGTCAAGCTTGAATGAACTCATCAAACTCAATCATCTTCATTCGATTAGTTGAAATGTTAAGGTAAAAATGTAATCTTAAAAAAACGCAATTTTCTTTGGCCAACATTATCATTTTTAATTAGAGCCACTGTGGTTGAATCGAGTGATACTTGGTTCATGGATGATGGAGCCTTGACTAAACACTTTTGCCCCGAGGAATCTGAATCTCTGGATGAACAAACGGAAATTCTTGAAGAATGCTGTGCCTGTGATGAGGCCAAATATGAGGTTATCTTTCAAGGACTTTGGTCACGATTCACTCATCCAAAAGACTTTCCAATAAACAGCCAATTGGCCCACTTTTCGGAGATTATTGGAGCTTCGCACACAGCCGACTTTCGCATGTGGGAATATGGAGGCTATGCATCGGAAGGGTTAAGACAACTGGCCGAGTCTGGAACAACCAAGAAGCTGGAAGCAGAACTCAAAGCAGAATCAAATAAGATTAGGTAAGCAACGACAATCGAACCTCAAATAATCTATTTCATTGCATACTCAAGTTACTTCCAAATCTTACAGCAAACTCAGATTGAAATCGGTTCAATCCAAGTCACATTGCAAAAAGTTTCTGTCAACGTGAAAAATGTTGAACTACATATCATGTTAATTGAAACAATCGCCACTCAGTTATTCCAAATTATCTTCAATAACATTAGTCTTTCGATATTGATTTAACAATTATTTTAACTTTAAGTCTTATCCGAGACTAGACATAAATCGACTCTAAGTCAAAGGAAAAAGACTTTTCTTTTGAAATGCATTTTCTTCGATGATTCTTGGATTATTTCATTTTGAGTTTGAATTTCAATCTGAATTCATTGCTTTATCATTCGATTGAAAGTTTCATTTAATGAATGAAAACTCTTTCGATCTTCTAATGCATGACTGTGATAGGATCATTGATCTTCGATTTTCCATTCTTTTCGTTTGAAGTTCTTTGCATAGGTTTGCAAACTTGAAGTTTGTTATTAAATGTTACAAATTGAATTAGAGCAATTAGAGAATAGATGAATTGGTTCAGAACTTTGTTCCACATTTCAACTGTAGAGTGAAAATTGACTTTCAAAGTCTAGTTTTTTCTTCTGCAACTTTGTCGATGTTTTCGTTTGGTTGACAAGCAGTGCTGATGCAATTAAAGTTGACTTGTGAATCTTCAGGTTGAAATTAAATTAAATCTTTACAGGTAAACAAGCATTCAGTTTGAGCTGTCACCACTTTGCTCCATGAAAATGAAAGTAATGAAAGTGTTCTGCATTTCTTCAAATTATTCCCCATTTCATATTTTTATTAATTTAATCACTTTTCAAGTCAGTCAACTTGATGATTGTTTTGACATAATTGATTCACTTTTGTTCTGAGTCAAGAAACACATTTCCCCATCAAAATGGACCTTTTTTTGCCTTACAAAATAAAGACTCAAGTTCAACAGAAACAAGTTCAACTATTGATACATTCAGTCCACCTTAGCATCTGTAAAATGAGAAACAAAATTTGCTATCATTCATCTTCTGGACCTTCTGAAACGAACGAGATAAAAATGGAATGAAAATTCAACTGATAACACCAATGAACCAAAGATATCTGACAACAGAATCAGTTTTTGCTCAGCATCATTGATGGGAAAAACAGGAAATTGGAGTTTTTGCTCGTTTCTTCATCAACCTGTCAGAAGGTCAGAATGCAAATGCAAGAGCAAAAATGGGTCAAATGTTGGACAAAAAAAGTTGATGGAAACAGTTCGTTAGGAATTGCAGGTTCATTAGCAGCAATCGATAAACTCATTAAGATGTTGAGAGTCAAAGTTGCGTTTTCGCAAGGTTTCACTTTGGCGCTACTTTTGAAAATATTGAATCTATTGACTTAATGGGATGGAGTCACGTTAAGGGTGAAAAGGGTGAACCATGATTAATGATGAAGTTTGAATGAAATTTTCACAAAATTACATTCCTTTCCAATTGTAAGGCAGTTTCTGTTGAACCTCTCATCAAAAGTTGATTGCATGTTTTCCCTCATGATAATGGTGTTAACTTTTACTTGCTGAACATTGAATGATAAGAATGAGCGCTATAACGATGAACAATTTGGGTGAAGAGAGGGAGAAAAAAACAACATTGAACATTACCATGCAACCAGTTGAATAAGAGTTTTTATCATTTTTGGCTTTGCTTTCAACTTTTACTCTGTTAACAGGATAACGTTGAAATACAAATATTTAGCAATCAGATTATCATAATGGGATAACCATGAATGAGGCGAGAAAAAATCATATTCAAATTGAAAGTTTTGTTCCATTTTTTTGTTCTCCTCCTTCGCCTTCACTTTTACTTGTGTTTAAATGTTAGGAACTTTTTTTTCTCGCTTGAACATTTTATATTTTTCATTGTTCAGTTTGTTGATTTTGCTTGTTTACTCTTTATTGGTAAGATTAATGGTGAGTAAATTGCTTCAAGATTACTTATTGTTTGTGTGAACCTCGACTTGGGAGTGAAATGCTACTGGGAGTGAAACTTGATAAATATTATGAGAGTGAGATCAAAGTAAATAAAATGTAATTTTATGTTCCAACATATTCATATGGCTGCTGTTGTTTGCTTTTTTACCTTTTCTTTTATGTTCTTTTAACTTAATTGATTGTTTCATATCCAGATAATGTTTTATCATGTTAACAGTAATTGGATAAAATTGCATTTAAAAAAAGGACAAATGTTTTAAGTTTACCAGAATTGTCAGGGATTTATAAGTTAATCTGATAAGTTAACCAGGATTGACATAACCTGTTGTTACACTTGCACTGGATACAAGTTTAATGTTTAACAAATTGCTAATTTAATTTGTCAAGTTAACCTTTTCAGACTAAATCAGCATGAAAACTCTGAAAAATGTTCTGATTAGTTAAATTAGAATAGAGAAAAGACCTTTTTAGAACTGAACAGTTTAGTTTAAATCAAAAAATTACAATAGTAAATGTTCATTTCAAGTCGTTGTGCTTTTAAAATTAATAACGATTGATATTAAATTAAAGTTTCTCTTCACGATTTTTAGACAAAATTGTTTTTTTAAAACTTTTATTTTCTGCAACATTTGAAACAATATTTCATTCAGAATAAGTTTATCAAATAAATCAATTCTAGGTTGTTCGTCCAACTAACGCTTCCAAAGAAACGAAAGATTGCAATAAATAATGAAAAAGAAAATTAATTTTATAAAATGTCGTTACAACATTGAAATACGATTCGGAGTAACAACCAAATAGTTTGAATCGTTGATAACTTTTTCACTCTTTGCTCGAATTTGAATTTTTCGATTCTTTTGAGTCAACTAGTCAAAGTTTTGTTCTTGATAACCTCGGAAGAAAAAAGAAGCTACAGGATGCAATTCTGTAAAAATCAGTTGCTTTAGCTGAAACAGAAGAGGCATAAAAGAAGAAATAAAATGGCAAATGAGTTCGAGTTGAAATCAAAAGAAAACAATTTATTGTCTTAAGTTTATTCTATTAATTAACAAATCTATTATTCAATTAAAGAAAAAGGAAAAGCACAAATTGCTCTGTTTGAACAGAATTGTTGAAACTCCAAGTTGAGCCAAACAGTTAACTTAATAATCAAAGTAAATGAATGATTATCAATTCGTTTATCATTCATTGAATCGTAATTTTTCCTCCAATGTGTGTCATCCAACTTCTGGTTCAACATTTACAATATTAAACTGTCTTTTTCCGTTGAAATATCTTATTTCATTGGTAATCAGTGTTTTCATTTTCAACAAAACTTCCTTCCCTGATGATCACATTTTTTTGTGTTACTTGATTTGATTTTGTACCAACAAATGAAGGTAAAATAATAGATGTAAACTAAACCAAGAAAAACATTAACCCAATCAAATCAATGTAACCATAAAAGCGAAGGATAAAATCGCCTCGAGACAATATTTTGTTCTCGTTCACTTTTATTGAACATTATTTTTTTCCTTCCACAACAAAAGACTATCCAGTTTTCATGATGATTCTCATGGCGATGGTGATAATGACTGTTCATTTCTCTTTTTTACTCCACTCTAAATATTTTCTCATTTCTTTTCATTTTTTGGATCAATATTATTGAACCATTTTTATATCTTTAACCCAATACGCTAATCTGAAAAATGTGAAAATCAATTAGTTTCATGACGAGTTGAAACATTGGTCAAGTTATTCACTTACATTAACCAATTGACTGAGAAACAATTGCTGTTGAATTTCATGCTCAACTGTTTATCTTGTACTTAACAGTTGTTTACTTGTGATCGTTCATCCAGTCAAATGATTTATACAATCTGATAAGATTATCATTCAAGTCTGAACAACAATGATCAGTTGAATGAAACTGTTCAATATGGTTTGGATGAAGAGTAAATGTTTAACCGATTGGAAAAAGAATCGAAGAAAAAGATTTGGAGAAAATTTTGAAACAAGAGTTGAAGTGTTGATAAAATATGGTTTAAAGGAAGGGTAAATGGTTATATGAATGATTATCATGATTAAGATGATTGTTGATGAGAATGGAATTTTTTGGGTGAAATAGTTTTTTGCCTTTTCTTTGAAAAGATTTTTCAATTGAAATTTCACCAAGATGAAAGGAAAGGTTAAAAGATGATGACAAAAGACAGATACAAAAGATTCGGATGAAGATGTAATAACGTTCTATGCAAAGTGGCTTCCAATTGAATCAAACTTTTCATTTGTCATGGAAAAGGAGAATGACATGATGATATTGGATGGAATTGTTGGCCTTTTTATATTCTGAGCAAGTGACTGACATGCAGACACAATTGGTATCATTTTTGGGAGAAGAACAAAAAACAATGACTTTTCTTGTTCGCATAATCAGGGAATGATAATGATGACGATTGGTTATAGGTTGAGGAAAGGTTTCATCAGGGGAATGTTCAAATTGAAGAAGAAATGAGGAGAAAATCAAATTGGTTAAGAGGTTAAATCATGGATTATAAAAGTTTCAATTCAATTTAATGATACAGTTTAAAGGTTTCGATGAAAAACGCAAATTCACTTGACGAACCTTTGTTACTTTATTCTTGTATTTCAAGTTATCAATGTTTATCAATTTCAACTTTTAATCAAATCAACTTTTGTCTTCTTTCGATGTAAATGCATCAAAAATCTAGAAATTACTTTTATCAGTCAACCTTACATCGACAGTGTTCGTATTTTTGACTTTCATGGTTTTGATAATCACTTGAGATCAAACCATTTCGAACTCTTGATCGGTTCGAATCAACTGAAAATTTTGTTCTTCCATTTACAGTTCTGTGAAATTCTGATATAGAGTCTAGTCATTATGATTGCCTAGAGATAAATTTGGGACTTTTGTCTAAACCTATCATAGCTTTGCAAATTTAACCGAAAAATATCTCTTTTTGAAATGAAAATGTTGGAAATTTACTTTTATTTTAGGTTTTTAATGATCTCTTTAAGTCTAATTTTACTTTCTACATTTAAGTTAGTCGATGAAAATTTAAAGTTAGTAAAACTTATACTTAAAATCCAAAGTTACTAGATCATGATTGATCGCAAATTGCAAATATTTTCACTAAGTGCAGAGTTAATCAGAAAAGACCCGAATTGTTGACGAAAAATCCATCGTCAGAGTAAGAAATTCAAAAGTTGAAGTCTTTAGCTTGACAGACACTTTTAACTTAACTCCTAATCCAACAATAAACCATCAACTTGAATAACCAAAAAAGTTTATCCTCAAACACAAATCTACAAAATGTAAATTACTTTGAAATCGAAGCTAATTGTACGTGTTTCTCTTGTTTCCTATTCAGAACAATTATTAAATCTAGAGGCTTGTGGCATCCAAACTTGAATGGTAAAACGTTTGCCGTTTTCCGAGTTGACAAGAAGCACCATTTGATGTCACTTGTTTCCATGCTTGGACCCAGTCCAGATTGGATTGTTGGTGTCTCGGCTCTTGAATTGTGTCTTAAAAATTGCTCATGGGTTGGTGAGAAGCAAATGAATCTTTACCTTTGGGATGCTGGAACAGATTCAGGAATCTCTTATCTATCACAAAATACACCGACAATTCCCCAAGAAAGGATTCGACGGATAACACCATCCAATCCCAACTCAAGAGATTCACCCTTTTACGATCCAAATGGAAGCAAGATGAAGCCCTTTGCTCGTCTAACAGTAACCCGACAACGAATGTACGAAAAGGCTTGCGATGAAACTGAACCATTGGACCTGTCACCATCACCCATAACAATGACAGCTCCAGGTGAGTGCAACATTAATTTCACTCTCAAAAAACGTCAAGAGAAAAGGCAATTGAAAGTTTCATTAAACTCTCAACTTGTCATCTACCAAAATGAAGAAACTAATTGTTCCAATTGATATCATTAATTGTTGCTCACAATTTCATCATAATAAAGAAGCTCAAAAATGGTTAAAAAACAATTTCAATGTTAATCATGATTAGAAAAGGGAAGATGAAGAAAAGGTAAAAATGCTCTTTACCATTATTTTCATTTTCGAGGAACGTTATTAATGACTGTGTTTAATCAAGATGAACAATTGTTTTAAACATTTTCACAGGGAAAACATGAGCAATGACTATGAAAGATGATTACCATGATAATTATGCAGGTGAAGGAAGAGATGAAAATGTTGAACATTTTAATTGGTTGGAGTAAGATGAAAATTGTGTTACCATTTTAATGTTCACTTATTGTTCACTTTCATTATCATATTGAAGGTTTATTGGATGCAAGAGCAACATTGAAGTTATTAAATGATAACTTGATGAACTTGATATAAGAGAAAAGCTGAAATCTTAATTATCATGAAACAAGGGAACGATAAGGATGACTGGAAATGGAAATTAATCGAAAGTAAAGAATTTCTTCCATTCCATTCTCAACTGTTATCATTGTGCCTTCACTGGGAGTGAATAACTAACAGGTTAATCATTATTTGATTTAACAAATGAAAGATTGCTAATCAATGAGACAAAGCTTCAGTTAGGGTTCAAGCTTATTAATTGCTAATTGACTGTTCAACTAGATTGGCAACATTTCATCTTCACTTTGGACCATTTCAAGTGGTTTTCAGTTTCCTTTCACTGCTTCTGTTTCCATCATGATAAAGGGATGAATAAAGGTTGGATATAATATTTGGCGGAGAATAATTGAGAATCTTGTTATCAATTCTCTTATAGAACTTTTTCTTCCCATTCTTTAACCTTTATCTCTACTTATCATGACAAGGAGAATACAAAAAAGTGGAACAATTTTTACTTCTTTTGTCACAACTTCTGTTGATACTGTCTCTAGTTAGTCAAGGATTGTTGACGAGGCTCAACAATGAAGGGTTAAGTGAAGAGCATGAATTGGGTTAATCAATTGTAAACCTGGAATTATTTCTCATCTTTCCTAATCAATTACAATTAACAATTTTGTTCCATTTTTTAGTTACCTTCAAATTGAGTTACTCCAATAAAAACAAAACAAAAACAACTTTGCTTCAGGGAAATCAAAAGCTTAACAACATTTCATGTTAACTTTTTTTTCGCTATTTTTGTTTCGCTTTTTGTTGCCTTTCATTGCTTCATTAGACTTACAGCTTTGATTATCAATTGTTGATTTTATTGAATAATTGAATAAAATTAAGGTGAATTTGGTGGATGAAATAAGGTCACTGATCAAGTGTACAATTTAAAGATAGTTCATCAACTTGATTAGTGTTCAACAGAAATGATCAGAATTTGAAAGTGCTTTTCATGAAAGGCTGATACAAATTCATCATCGCGATGATGGAACACAAGAAATCACAATTTAAATGAAAGAAAAATTACAATGGAAATTTGAATAGAATTTAAAATTCTTGGATTTTGAATGAATTTTAAGTTTCGCCAAATGTTGATGTTGAATGTTAAATTATTGATTTGAGTTTTTCTTGTTTTCTGTTTTCAGATGATTGTACAGTAACTGATTGGACTGAGTTTAAACCGTGCAGTGTTACTTGTGGCAAAGGTTTTCGTATAAGAACTCGTAACTTTGCTTACGAATCGCGTGCTCGATTGGCCGACTGTCGGACTCCATTGATTGAGAAGGAACCTTGTGAGGTTGACTGCATTGGTGATGTTAGTTGTGCCACTACAAGTTGGTCTGAATGGTCTGATTGTTCTGTTACTTGTGGTAAAGGCAGTCGAACTCGAAGTCGCAAATTTATGAATCGATCGGCAAAGAAAGTTTGTACTCAGGTCGAGTTGGTGCAAAATGAATCGTGTACAGGTCCTATTCCAGTTTGCCCAGAAGAGGAAGAACACGATCCCAAATGTTCAGTTACTCAATGGTCGGAATGGTCACCTTGTACAGTCTCTTGTGGTCGTGGGATGAAAATCCGCACTCGACTTTATCTAAGTCCAGTTCAAAGTTCTCTTAACAATTGTAATGTTGAATTGATTCAAAAGTCTCCCTGTACAGCCGATAAAGCCGACTGTTCAATCGACTATAGTGATGCAAAAGGTTAGTCCATCGATCTTAACTTGAATTCACTCTTAACCAACCCTTAACCTTTCACAGAAGTTTGTATGACTCCAAAAGATGTTGGCCCATGTCGAGGCTACTATCCTCGTTGGTACTATGATGGTGACAAAGCGATGTGTTTACAGTTCATTTATGGTGGATGCAGAGGAAATCGCAACAATTTTGAACGTTACACTGATTGTAGTAAAATGTGCGAAGTATTATTACGAGGTAAGAAGCGACTTTGAAAACATTTTTTTCCTTGAAATCCTTTCTTTTCATTTTCAATACAATTAGCTGAGAGTAAAATTATTTTTGTTTCAATAAAAACTTGATTTGATTGATCAAAGTCAATAAAATCAACAATCAAAATTTCTTCAAAAGTCAAGCTATTAAATAAATCTTACAATTGTCAGATTTTATTTGTCATTTACAATTGAAGTTTACAAGGTTGTATCTTTAAGGCCTTAGAAAAGTTGAAAATTGAAAATGTTATATTAAACTATTTCTAGATTTAATGTATTTGTATAATTTAACTGTAAAATTTGTTTAATCCAAATTAATGTCGTCAATTAATCGCTATTATCGCACTTAACCACGCTTATCCTTACATATTACTTTCCTATTTTTGCCTGATCCTAACAGACTTCGTGAAAGCTTCTCTGCCTCCATCTACTATTGCCTATGCCTATGCTATGAAAGATGCCACCATCCATCTTGAAAAAGGACTTGTCTGTGGTAGTATTGATTAAACCAAAACTGTTACCCTTTTCATCACCTTTAACCCAATAACAACCGAACTTGATTTATCGTCTAACAAGATTGTTCACTTTTATTTTGTTATGAACTCTTTTTTTTGCTTAAAAGTTCTGTGTTACTCGATCTTTATTTTAAATATTATTCAATCAAATTTGTGAGAAAGTATAGAGACATTTGATTTTCAATCATTAATGTTGATTTTTATGACGCTAATGACAATTGAGGAAATTAAATTTGCCTCGCTTTTGCAGGTTTGGCGCCCTCTCTTGGTGAATTATTTGTTTCTGTAACACAGCAGTTAGAGAGTTAATTTGTTGAAATTTCAGCCTGAAAATCAAGTGTCATGTGCTTTTTCATCGGGAATTATATGCACATCATGTTAAATCTCAACGTTTCTCTACTTTATTTGTTAGTTTAATAGTCAATTTGTTAGTTAATTTACCCTGAAACCTACTAAGTTTTTAACACCTTTGTCCCCTTTTGTATTTTTTATCAAATTTTCTGAATGTATCAGATGGCTAATTCAATTTTTTCTGTCTTTTTTATTTTTCTAATTTTTAGCGCCAATCAGTGCCTTGACCACACTGGCTTCCAACCCCAATTCACATCATCAATATACAAGTAGTTTGTATCATCCAGTTGCTTCACCTGGCTCACAAATTTCATCATTGGCCAGTCATCATTCATCTTCTTCATCATCTTCATTAATTGTACCATCATCATCGCCAATATCAACAAGCTCAGGTAGCTCAGATCAGCCCAAAATTGATTGTGTAACCAGTGAATGGAGTGAATGGAGTCCCTGTTCAAAATCCTGTGGAACCAAAGGACGTCGAACAAGACGCAAAATGATCAAAGTTAACCCTCAAAATGGAGGTAAACCTTGTCCAAGGAAACTTGTTCAGCGAAGAAAATGCAAAAATCTTCCTCCTTGTCAAGAAGATGAAGAAGATTAATGGACATTATCAGAATGATCAAAGATGCAAATCTCCTCGCGAGGAAAAACACTTGAAATATCCAATCTCTACTTTTGTCTTTTTAATTCTCTGTTTAATTTTCACTCATATTCCATTTCATCAATTTATTTGACCTTTTTTCCCTAGTCAATGCTTTTCAAACATACTAAAACATCAGATCATCATATCTTTACTCTTCATCACTTTTGCCATTTCCCATCTTCATCTTTCATAAAAATCATGGAATAACAAAAGGTCGTAGGTATTCGTACATACAAAACAAAGACACTGGAATCTGTGAATCTCATCAACAAGACTTGTCGATTGTTGGGCTAAGTCTTATATGCATATCTTATCAGTATTGTAAAAGTTTGATAGAACTTTTAAATGGACTGTCTGGTTGAACATAAAAAAATGTCTTTAAATGTTGGTTAATCTCGTTAGATTTGTGTTGAAAATTAATCGCCATGATCTCAAATACACTTCAATGGAGACAGATTTAAACTAAGTTGACTGGTTTTAAAGTCAATGGGGCTTAGTTTTGCAGAAATTTATCAAAAAAAATGGTTGGAATCATCAAATTTTTCATTAAATAAGGATCAATTTTGAAATGGCTTTTTGGAACACCAATAACGAAGCAAAAAATCTTTTCCAGACATGAGTTTGTTTCTTCACGCTACAGTATTTATCCCGATAACCCGTTCTCATGGATTAATTGCAACCCAATATCATTTCTAGAAACAGCACAAATGGAAAGCAAAAGTCTTTGGTGCATTTCATTTCCATGAAATATATAAAAATGAAACGAAGTAAAATTAGGTTAGTTAACTAGGAAGAGCAAAGCAAATTAGTTATAAGCAAAGATGCACACGAGGTTATAAAGTCATCAATACTAACAGCTAGTGATTTGGCTCTGGCTCGGTATCAATAAAATAAACAGAAGTTTACAGAATTTTCATTCACCAAAATCGGATTTCTCACTAAACCGATGAAAATCAAAAGACGAATTTCATTTTAAAAGTAAAATGCTGTACATTTGTTATTTTGTTGGACCAGCAACTTTATCTGTAAAAAGCGACAGCGTTTTAGGCGTCAAATCCTCACGATAGAAGCGGTTCTAGCATTGAAACTAAATTACCAAATTTACAAATCAGTTTCATCTTTTTTAATTTCCTCAATAGACTCAGAGAGTAGATTACATCTAATTAGCCATTAAACTTGAACCGTTGGATTAATTTGAATCACACATTAAACCAGATTAACTAACAGTGTTTGTTAATTTTTGTATTACCAATATATTAACCCTAAATATTATACATAAATGAGGTTAACTGGAAACAAAAATAAGCTATTCTAGCTTCATGCATATCTTAATCGTTAATCATCTTGATTAAATGTTAAAATTAATTGTTGATTTTAATCAATTTTGCTCTCTTTTCCTCTCGTTTTTTTTGTTACTCATTCAAATATCATAACAATTGTTATTAACAAATGAAAAAACTAACAAAGCTATTTACTCGTTGAAAAATATACATACAAATTAAGTTGTGTTTTTGCAAATCACAATCAAAACAATTGTAAACTGATTTTTGTAAATCCATTAACATTAATGAAGGAAACAAAGAAACATATTATACAATTATAATCAAAGAGTTAAATGTAAAAGTTGTCAAATGAGCAAAGTAAATCACACATTTAACATTAATGATTCAACTGTGACAATTATTTCATTCAATTCACATTACATTTTGTACCATCAAGGAGAGGCTTTATCAACTAAAGTATTGATCTAATACATATGATTAGCCATGTTTAAATTCATGAAAGATTAATGACTATTTGGAACAGACTAGAATCAAAATCCATATTTAATCTCAATTTAAACGAATCCCAATATTTCAGCCTTTTACTTCAAACCAGAACTAACTTTAATATCATTTAGTAATTTTCAGCTTTATAAATCTGTTGTTTTTACATAAATTAGTTTTCATGGCAAGAAAATGATTCTCTCAGCTCAGAATCTTATATTGATTGATTCATCAATTGTTGACCGTTCAATTAGATGGCAAGGATTTTACCCAATTTTTGAAATAAACTAATCGTAATGGAAGGCATTAGACGAATTAGTTTAGAGATGATTCATTTATTGTTAAGAAAGACACCTTTTTTGAACTCATATCAGCTGCTATCGGAATTACATGAAAATTATTCAGCACTGAATTGAATGTAAAGGTAAATGTAGAAAACAGTTGGCAGCAGTAAACAAGAGATGGCAGTAACTCTGTTAGTCTCTTGTTAGTCGGACCACTTAATTATTCCTCCTCCTCTCACCACAATTTATTAATTTTGTTCTAAATTTAAGCCATTAATTAATTAATTTTTTCATTAAACCTACTACCTATAACCACCGTGCACCTACTGATTCCATCTTACTGGATCAATCATGACTTCCGTTGCCAATAATCAAGTAAGTATATTCCCCTCTCAAAAACCCATTACCCATAGTGTTCTCTTACACTTTATCTCAAAAATAAATTCTCTCAAAAATAAATATTCTCAAAAAATATTAATAAAAGCTAAGACTCCCGTCTTTTCTTTTCGGGTTCTTCCCTTTTCTCATCTTGTATAAGCCAATTACTTAATTCAAATTAATTTAAATTAATTCACATTTTCTATTCTACACTAGCCCGCCACCTCGACCGCCTCTACACCTAAGGTCCCTAAAACCTCACAAGAGATAGAGGCCATTAAACAAATTATTGACAATCTTATCAAGTACCTGAAAAATGATAAACCAGACACTGAAAAAATCTCAGCCACCCCAATTGGTCAACTGAAAATTGTCGTGGGCAACGCCATTAACCTCCTATTAGACCCGGATCTGAACACAATTACCAATGACGACAATGTCAAAAAGATGATACAAGCTACTAAGGGTATCCTCACCCACAGCAACAAAGAAGACACAGACTTCATCTTTTACAAAGAGAAACTTAAAGAACTCACAAAGAAACCTCCAAGTTCAAGAAAGAGAAAACCTACCGCGTCACCGGACACAGCCACTACCACCAAACAGTTTAACAAGCAGAAATCTATTAAAAAGACAGTTGCGGCTACAGAAGAAATCAATGTTCCTACAAAATGGCTCAAATGGACTACTCAACTCTTTGAGCCCACACTTCTTATCCCTGTTACGCCAGAAAAAGCCTCCGCAGATATCCAAAAATTAATTGAAATTAATAAAATGTCTGGTGCACTCAAAGCCGAGATAACGAATATCAGAACTAGAGAAGACCTAATCATTGTTAGACTTTCTACCCAACGCCAACTTACTACCTTCATCAAAGAGATGAAGAAAATTGATCCAACACTCACCCCGGAAATTCCTGAATTCAGGGATCCCATGATAATGATACATGACGTCCCAATCGGCATTCCAACTGAACAATTTATTGAAAACATAAAAAAATTCAACAATTTCAATAAAAACGACAAACTAGTCTTTCACAAAACCTCTAAAAACATAGATCCTGAAAAGGAAAATGTCATTCTCCGTGTCTCACCCGCTATTCGCGATGAGATAGAGAGAAAAAGAGGCTCCATTCTGTATTTATGCTCCAAATTATATGTCACTGACTACTTCGCTATAATCCAATGTAAGCGCTGCTTTAAATACTCTCATACCAAGTTCACTTGTGGTTCGCAAACAATGTGTAAGTTTTGCGCCAAACTACACATGCCTTTCCAATGTGACGTTCGCTTAAAGCCAGAACTTTATCGATGCCCAGCCTGCTTACAGCCTGGCCACAAAGCTGGCGACAGCTCTTGCCCTGAGCATATTAAGCAAATCAAATTCGCTGTTGCCCTTACCAACTATGAATACAATTACATTATGTTGAAGTAAATTAATTTAA